TTATAATTAATAAATAAATAACTTTTGTATTTGTTTTTTTTTTGTAAATTGCATTAACAAAATAATGTCAAACGAGGATTGACAATCGTGCTATTTCTCTATCTCGTTGATATATGATACACGAAGTATCATCGATATTATAGTAACGAAGCAACAAGTTACTAACAATAAGTCTAACAGGCACCCTTGTCTTACATCTTGTGTATCTGTTCACTCTATTACTTATTATTCTACTATTATTATTGATCAACATACAATATTTAACTGCACGTATAATTTTAACTATAATTTAAACATATATATGCACATATGTATATATACAAGTATAAAATTCTCAAAAAATAGGCGCCCGTTAGTTTTGTTGCATTACTGCTTTCTGCCACGAGAGGCCAGAAAGCATTTTCAGGTTGTATCTCGACCATAAAGCGATACGTTAGAAGAACAAGGACAGCACGCGATTGTCGCTCCTTGTCTAGATTTATCTCTCAACGATCGCATCCATGTGCTCAACGTATCGATGTTTGTGCCTTCACGGATACTACACACATACACGATGAAAGAGAGACAAAGACGGCGCAATCATCTCTCTTTATCAAACGATCAGTGTACTACTAGAAAAATGTCCCCATTAGCTGCTCCTTGCATATCGCTCTAGTGAGATCCGCTTATTCCGTATTTTACATCGAAGAAGTCATATTACTTCATGAGAAGCGAGGTTCAACGCAAACCTATGTGTCTAGTTTTTTGATAGTGTTGCCCCCCCGTAGGGGGGGGCGGAACATACAACCACCAAACATATCCTTTTTAATGCGAAGTAAGATTTCACATAGGTTTACAACTTTCCACGCGAAGCGAAGTTCAACGCAAACTTAAGTGTCTAGTTTTTTGATAACACTGTGTCCAATCGTGCAGTGTTCAATCGTGCGGTGTCCAATCGTGCAATGTCCAATAATGCGGTGTCCAATCGTGCAGTGTCCAATCGTGCGGGGTCCAATCGTGCAGTGTCCAATCGTACGGTGTCCAATCGTGCAGTGTCCAATCGTACGGTGTCCAATCGTGCAGTGTCCAATCGTACGGTGTCCAATCGTGCAGTGTCCAATCGTACGGTGTCCAATCGTGCAGTGTCCAATCGTGCAGTGTGCGTGTCCAATTGTGCGGTGTCCAATCGTGCGGTGTCCAATAATTCTGTGTCCAATCGTGCAGTGTCCAATTGTTCCGTGTTCAATACTGTGTGTCCAATCGAGCGGTGTCCAATCTTTCCGTGTCCAAACGGGTGTCACCCGTTCTTAATCATATTCTGGTGAAATTCTATCGGAATCAACATCCGTTTGCTCCTGAGTGAGTCCTTCCGTCGTTGAAGGCGACTTGTGGATCCTATCTAATGAGATCTGCGGAGAGCTTGAAGGAGATCTACTAGGCCTTTGTGATAGATCCTGCAAGACCTTACCCATGAATGGATTCGATCGTTCATAACCTTCGCGTTCCGATCTCGAGTCACCTAATAACCATAATCTTATTGTAGGCATAATTTCCAGAATATTTTCTACATTAATGTATGATACAAAAATTTTTAATGCGTTGATTTATTCAAGACATGTAAACACAAAAGGAAAAACGGGTTCGATGTGCCCCTCGTCTTAAAGACTCAGCTTTCCATCGGGTTAGAGCCCGCGGCTCGTCGATGGGTTAGACCCACGACATAACGAGCGTTTACCGTAAATCGTCTATAAAGTACACCTAGGAAGGCATTGTGTGCCTTTCGTCATTGAGACAACGCTCGCCCTCAGGTTAGAGCCTGCGGCCGTCTATAGGTTAGGGCCTATGACGTGACGACAGTGTACAAAAAACCAAGGGAAAATTTTTCCTTTCCATTCATTCCTGTATATACTCTCCTCCCCCCCTCTTTTTTGAGGGGTTAACTTACCATGATTATTCTCAGATAAACTTGGACGTTTCTTTCTAACTTCTTGTCTTGAGAATTCCTTCAACAACTTTTTCATCTTTTTGACAATTTTATTCTCTTTGGATTCATCGTCCGAATCCGACTTTCTGTGCTTTCTTTTACCCATCCTAATAATATTCTTACTCTAGCGATGTGACTACCTCGGCACAAAAAAGAAGAATGATTCATGGGACCTGGGACGTGTGGAGGGAGCCTAGAGGGATTAATTGCTTTCACTCTAGCTTTAAAGATTGTGGCGCCACGGCGTAGAATTGAGGACTACTACTTGTTATCTTGAGGAAGAGGCGCGAAATACAATTTATTGATTAAACAAACTTACCTGTAAGTGAAGTTCTATCAAAATTGTATGAAGCGCCTCTTCCGAAAGATGAGTCCCTCCCAAGACCCATGTTCGAAGCCTTGAACCCCATAGGACTACGGCGATACCTTTAAAAGAATGATTCATGGGACCTGGGACGTGTGGAGGGAGCCTAGAGGGATTAATTGCTTTCACTCTAGCTTTAAAGATTGTGGCGCCACGGCGTAGAATTGAGGACTACTACTTGTTATCTTGAGGAAGAGGCGCGAAATACAATTTATTGATTAAACAAACTTACCTGTAAGTGAAGTTCTATCAAAATTGTATGAAGCGCCTCTTCCGAAAGATGAGTCCCTCCCAAGACCCATGTTCGAAGCCTTGAACCCCATAGGACTACGGCGATACCTTTAAAAGAATGATTCATGGGACCTGGGACGTGTGGAGGGAGCCTAGAGGGATTAATTGCTTTCACTCTAGCTTTAAAGATTGTGGCGCCACGGCGTAGAATTGAGGACTACTACTTGTTATCTTGAGGAAGAGGCGCGAAATACAATTATTACACGATTATTATAAAAATGAAATGTATAAATTCGAAGAAAATATGTTCATATAAAATTACATTAAATATATATCAATATGTATATATACATATAAGATATATTCATAGCTTCACTAAGCTTTTGAATCAAAGCCATTTGCGGGTCTGATACCTTCAGATTATCGGATTTTTCGTTGTTGATAACATCCACAACGGCGCTGCCCAACAAAGCCAGACAAGCGGAGATCTTTTTCTGTTTCTCTACGATTCAATCATCTCGTTTCGTAGCCGTTTCACTTACAGATACCTTAATCTCTTCATTGAGTTTTGGAGGATCGATCAGGACACAATTTTTCGGCGGCGCATGTTCCTTGATTAATTTTTCCTTCTCTTCCTTTGGAAGGCCTTTCTTTAAAATATCCTCAAGCCGCACCGCGATACTTTTTGGGATAGATGGGGCCAGTACCCTGACTTCTGCTACTCTTTTGCCAATAACTTCTAAGATGTCCAGATCTAAATCTTCAATGATAGATCCGTTACCTTTTCCTACCGGATCTGTCTCTTGATTTTCCAGGGAGGGTAGATCTTCCACCCCTTGACTACCAACACCCAGCGCTGCTTGTGTTTCGTCGGTGTTACTAGGTGGTTCTTGATCATACTCTGGTGAAATTCTATCGGAATCAACATCCGTTTGCTCCTGAGTGAGTCCTTCCGTCGCTGAAGGCGACTTGTGGATCCTATCTAATGAGATCTGCGGAGAGCTCGAAGGAGATTTACTAGGCCTTTGTGATAGATCCTGCAAGACCTTACCCATGAATGGATTCGATCGTTCATAACCTTCGCGTTCCGATCTCGAGTCACCTAATAACCATAATCTTATTGTAGGCATAATTTCCAGAATATTTTCTACATTAATGTATGATACAAAAATTTTTAATGCGTTGATTTATTCAAGACATGTAAACACAAAAGGAAAAACGGGTTCGATGTGCCCCTCGTCTTAAAGACTCAGCTTTCCATCGGGTTAGAGCCCGCGGCTCGTCGATGGGTTAGACCCACGACATAACGAGCGTTTACCGTAAATCGTCTATAAAGTACACCTAGGAAGGCATTGTGTGCTTTTCGTCATTGAGACAACGCTCGCCCTCAGGTTAGAGCCTGCGGCCGTCTATAGGTTAGGGCCTATGACGTGACGACAGTGTACAAAAAACCAAGGGAAAATTTTTCCTTTCCATTCATTCCTGTATATACTCTTCTCCCCCCCTCCTTTTTGAGGGGTTAACTTACGATGATTATTCTTAGATAAACTTGGACGTTTCTTTCTAACTTCTTGTCTTGAGAATTCCTTCAACAACTTTTTCATCTTTTTGACAATTTTATTCTCTTTGGATTCATCGTCCGAATCCGACTTTCTGTGCTTTCTTTTACCCATCCTAATAATATTCTTACTCTAGCGATGTGACTACCTCGGCACAAAAAAGAAGACTGATTCATGGGACCTGGGACGTGTGGAGGGAGCCTAGAGGGATTAATTGCTTTTATTCTAGCTTTAAAGATTGTGGCGCCACGGCGTAGAATTGAGGACTACTACTTGTTATCTTGAGGAAGAGGCGCGAAATACAATTTTCGTTTGATAGGTCAGACCGAATCGCTACTCGTTCGGGGTACAGTGACAGTAAATTCGAATGCACGTTTGAGTGCTGCAACGGAGGAAACTCACTGTTCGCAAACAGCAATACCCTTACAATCGACTGATGATGACGGTGCGGCGCCTTTTCTTCCAAACGTTGCACAGCATCCAAACCAAAACATTATATATAAGGCTTCAGGCATTAGATTGCCAACAATTGAATTACCAAAATTTAGTGATGATACTGTTGAATGGCTTAGTCCTATGACGTGACGACAGTGTACAAAAAACCAAGGGAAAATTTTTCCTTTCCATTCATTTCTGTATATACTCTTCTCCCCCCTCCTTTTTGAGGGGTTAACTTACCATGATTATTCTTAGATAAACTTGGACGTTTCTTTTTAACTTCTTGTCTTGAGAATTTCTTCAACAACTTTTTCATCTTTTTGACAATTTTATTCTCTTTGGATTCATCGTCCGAATCCGACTTTCTGTGCTTTCTTTTACCCATCCTAATAATATTCTTACTCTAGCGATGTGACTACCTCGGCACAAAAAAGAAGAATGATTCATGGGACCTGGGACGTGTGGAGGGAGCCTAAAGGGATTAATTGCTTTCACTCTAGCTTTAAAGATTGTGGCGCCACGGCGTAGAATTGAGGACTACTACTTGTTATCTTGAGGAAGAGGCGCGAAATACAATTTTCGTTTGATAGGTCAGACCGAATCGCTACTCGTTCGGGGTACAGTGACAGTAAATTCGAATGCACGTTTGAGTGCTGCAACGGAGGAAACTCACTGTTCGCAAACAGCAATACCCTTACAATCGACTGATGATGACGGTGCGGCGCCTTTTCTTCCAAACGTTGCACAGCATCCAAACCAAAACATTATATATAAGGCTTCAGGCATTAGATTGCCAACAATTGAATTACCAAAATTTAGTGATGATACTGTTGAATGGCTTAGTTTTCGAGATACGTTCGAATCTCTTATAAGCAAAAATGAAAACATTGACCCAATACAAAAATTTCATTATTTGAAGGCAGCTTTGGAAGGAGGGGCAGCGCAGATCATTAAGTCGTTAGAGTTTACAGCCGTGAATTATGCAGTTGCGTGGGACACAATATGTGACCGTTTCAATAACAAAAGGTTACTCACGCACAATCATATCAAGGCTATTTTTAACATTAAGCCGCTAAAGGAAGAATTCTCTGGTCAAATTCGCGAAACCGTCGATACTCTCAATAAGCATTTACGCGCATTGAATGTCTTAGATCAAGCGACTGAACATTGGGATGCCTTACTGATATACTTGTTAGCAACAAAGTTAGATAACATCTCCGCCCGAGTATGGGAAAAGGAGCGTGCAGAAAACGATGTACCTACGTTGAAGGATTTCAAGGCATTTCTGAACTCTCGAGCAAATTTGCTAGAGGCCTTAGAGCAAAAGGACAACAGTGATCAAAAGCTAAAGCAAACAGAGCGTTCTAAGGTAAGATCGTTTCTAGTTCAAGGACAAAGGTGTATAGTTTGCAACGAAACGCATAAATTATTGAATTGTACGAAGTTTCCAGATCTCCACCCCTCAAAAAAGATCAAACTATGTAAAAGGTGCTAAATTATGTCTTAACTGCATGAGACCTGAACATTACCTTAAAGATTGCAAGGCAGCTGCGTGCAAGCAATGCTCAGGGAAACATAATACCCTATTGCACTTCAACAAGCCTTCAACAGGGCAAGCGGCTGCAACGGAAGAAGCGAAGAGTTCTTCGACTTTGTGTGCTTATGACAAATGTGATTCACATAACGTTTTATTAGCCATAGCCTTAGTATTAGTAACGGATAGTCAGGATAAAAGGCATAATGTTCGTGCAATATTAGATTCAGGTTCTCAGTCAAGTCTTATGACCGGCGGACTCTGTCAAGGCTTAAGACTACAGACATCAAAAATTCACATGACTGTGGAAGCCGTAAACGGATTGTCATCTAAGATAGAACATAAATGCAAGGTCGAGTTGTCGACACATTATAATAGCTACAAATTTGATCTTCAATGTATAGTTATACCAGAGATCACGGGATATCTACCAGCGCAGCACATTGACATTCAGAGCAGCCAACTGCCTTTCAACATTGAATTGGCAGATCCGTCGTTCCACGTTTCTGGCAGAGTGGACATTTTTATAGGAGCAGATTGGTTTTGGAATCTCTTATGCGTAGGACAATTAACAATTGGCCAGAATCAACTTACATTACAAAAGACAAGGTTAGGATGGATAGCAGTTGGACCGTCGAAGGGTTTTTATACAAAGATTATTCGATGCAACCTAAGCAGAGCAGGAGACATTGATGAGGAGCTTACGAAATTTTGGGAGATTGAAGAATTTGGAAATAATAAGATCCTATCCAATGAAGAAAAAGAATGTAAAGACCACTTTGTAAGTACTGTCCGTCATGATCAAAACGGTAGATTTGTTGTAAATATTCCTTTCAAGAGAAATCCTCGGGAATTAGGTGAATCAAGGGCGATAGCTAGCAAACGATTGATTAGTCTCGAAAGAAGGTTGCAAAGAAATCCTATTCTTAAGAAACAATATACATTTCTTGCAGAGTACGAAAAATTAGGGCATATGCAGAAAATAGCCGAGGGAACAGCACACAAGATTTCATATTATTTACCGCATCATTGCGTCGTTAAAGCAGACAGTTCAACCACCAAGGTGCGTATGGTTTTTGACGCATCGTCAGCAACTGACAATGGCATCTTATTAAATGACTTACAATTGGTAGGACCTACGGTGCAAGAAGATCTATTTTCAATACTCATTAGATTTAGAATTCATCCTTACATCATATCTGCAGATATAGAAAAGATGTATAAGCAGGTATTAGTAACTCCAGAGCAGGTATTAGTAACTCCAGAGCAACGCAGCCTTCAGCGCATAATATGGCGCTCGAATGACAAGGACCCTATAAGCACGTTCGAATTCAATACGCTTACCTACGGTACAGCATCAGCACCATTTCTGGCAACAAGGTGCTTAGTAGAACTAGCAAATGAAGTCAAAAATCAACTGCCAAAAATAGCCGAAATCATTCGGAAGGATTTTTACGTCGACGACCTATTGACAGGAGCAAGAACTATTGAAGAAGCGACAGATGTAAGGCGCAAGATTTCGCACGTTCTAAAAACAGCAAGTTTCAAGTTACGAAAATGGACATCAAATGAGCCTGCAATAGTTCAAGACGTTCCAGTAAAGGATCAAAATCGGAATAGTATTGATTTCAAGAGTGAAGGACAACTAAAGACACTAGGCACAACATGGCAAGCATTCTCCGACAAGTTGACTTTTACGATAAGAGAATTGAATCAAACTAAGATCACGAAGAGACAAGTCCTAACTGAAACCGCTCAGATATTTGACCCTTTAGGTCTTCTTAGTCCATGCATAATCATAGCAAAAATTTTATTGCAGGAATTGTGGTTGCATAGGCTAGCGTGGGAATGAATCGCTCCTTTTTGATTTGCATAACAAGTGGTTATCATTTCTGAAACAGAGTCAACACTTGAATCAAGTCAAGGTATCACGGCATATTTTATGCAACAACTATACAGATGTACAATTACATAGATTTACAGATGCATCACAAAGGGCTTATGGCGCGTGCATCTACATGCGGTCACAAAATCCCGAAGGAATTATTGAAGTAAAGCTGTTGTATGCAAAGAGCAGAGTAGCTCCTCTTAACAGCAAACAATCCCTCGTCTAAAGCTTTGTGCAGCTCTCACCCTCACGCGCCTGGTCGTCAAGGTAGTCCAATCACTTAGAATACCTATCAATTAAATCACTTGTTGGAGTGAATCCGCAATAGTCATCAGTTGGTTACGAATGTAGCCAAATATATTACAAGTATTCGTAGCAAATCGAGTAGCAGAAATACAACGCTTAACAAAGTCACATGAATGGCGACATGTTCCAACAACAGAGAATCCAGCCGATTGTCTTTCAAGGGGTATGCCTTCAGACAAGTTAATACATTCAGAATTATGGTGGCGCGGTCCATCTTTCTTGCTTAGGGACAGGGACAAATGGCCCACATTTATAACATCAGAAGACGATCTTCCAGAAATAAAGAGGACATGCTGCATAGCAAAGCAAGTGCAATCAACAGAGGCGTCTATATTTGAAAAAATATCAAGGGCAAGACGCATTATTCGCATCACAGCTTATAGTAAGCGTTTTATATACAATTGTAAGCATAAGAATGATCATAAAACGGATTTTCTCACAGCGATGGAATTAAAAGAGTCGTTAAATACACTTACGAGGATAGCGCAGCGTGAATGCTTTCCACACGAAGTACGAAAAAATGAAACATTTGTGTCATCTAATAGGTTAGCATCTCTCAGTCCATTTGTTGACAAAGAAAGTTTGTTACGAGTAGGGGAAAGATTAAATTCGTCAGAGTTCTCTAATGACAAAAAGCATCCCATTATTCTATGGGCCAATTTACGAAACTGTTTCTGATAGATGAGCATCTGCGGTTGCTACATGCAGCTCCGCAAGCACTTTTAGCGTCCATACGTGAGCAATTTTGGATAGTTGATGGCCGAAATCTCGCAAAAAAAGTCGTCCATGAGTGCGTGAAATGCTTTAAAAATAAACCGCAGCATACACAAGCGCTAATGGGCGACTTGCCGAAAACTCGTGTATCTATAGCAGCGCCCTTTCATACAACAGGCTTAGATTATGGAGGTCCATTCATGATCAAAGAAAGGTAGAGGTTGTAGAACAAATAAATGTTACGTAGGTCTATTTGTTTGTTTCGTTACAAAGGCGATACACTTGGAGTTGATTTCCGATATGACCACGGAATCTTTCATTGCAGTACTCAGACGTTTTGTCTCTAGAAGAGGCAAACCAGCTCATATATATTCGGACAATGAAACCAATTTTGTCGGTGCTAATCAAGAATTGAATGATTTGGCACTTCTTAATGAAAGAGCGAACAATTCTTAGTGAGACCATTAATGAGATAGCCATTAATTGGCATTTTATTTTTGCGTATTCTCTTCATTTCGGGGGTGTATGGGAAGCAGGAATAAAATCCACAAAACATTTAAGGCGTGTTGCAAGCAATTCGATATTAACATTTGAGGAATTTTACACAGAACTAACTCAAATGGAGGCGATACTTAACTCACGTCCACTGACTCCTCTGTCAACCGATCCCAATGACCTTATTCCTCTTACACCCGCTCACTTTCTGATTGGCAAAACTTTAACTGCAGTGGCCGATTCTGATCTCACGCATTTGCCAGAATTACGATTATCCAGGTGGCAGCTCATCCAGAATGTACAACAGCATTTTTGGAAAAGATGGAGGAAGGAGTACGTTTCAAAGTTGCAGCAACGCACAAAATGGAGGAAGCCATTCAAACCGTTACGCGAGGGCACCATGGTCCTTGTAAAGGAGGATAATCTTCCGCCATTTAAATAGAGACTGGGACGCATACTTTCCATTCATCCTGGACGAGACCAGATTGTTCAAGTGGCTACCGTGAAAACATCGACGGGCATCTTGCGCATCACTATTGCGAAACTTTGTCCGTTACCAATAGAAAATGCAAATACTATTGTTTAATACCCATGTTAATGCTATTATTTATTTAAGAGGATGCTGGATTACCGACAGAATGCGAATATTAGTAGGATTGCAAAATCTTTTTGTTGATTAAAGATATCAACACATCCTTTTCCACAATTAAGGCACTCATAATAACGAAGTGCGGAGTTTAACATTTCATATGAAAAGTTAAAAAAAAATGAGAAAATTACAGTTTTGTTATCGGCTTCTGCCGTCACATTTACTTAATATAACAAATTTGTAATCTGTACGTGCCTAATCAGTAAACCTCGCACTCGGCATTTCATCAAAGAGTATAAGTGAGCTTAGAGAAGTGAGTTTAGA